CCTACATTAACGAAATATTTTTAAAATACAGTTAGGTAACATGCAATCGCGTGCTTTATTTCAACTTTAGAATATTAACCTTGATTTTGTATCTGCGGCGATTCAAGAAACTGTTGCAATCGGAAAAAATGAGCCCGAAAATTAGCGTTTTCACAGTTTTTAATTAATATCTCAGCTGATTAACGTCGTACGAAGATGAGAATGGTATCAATTGGATTCGTAGAATTTTTTGGAATCCGCAGCGACACCTGTCTCGAATTCCAACTCAGCGCCGTTCCATAGATATTTAAGAAAAAAGAAATTGACACGTGACCTTTCGCCAGCACAAATCTCGAGCGGAAGCAAATGTCCCCCCCCGGCGCTTTCGAAAAAGCAATTTTATCTCAGCTAATTCCGAGACTGTTGCCACTCCGAAAAATGAAATAACGTTTTCGCAGTTTTTAATTAATAACTCCGCCGATTATTGTCGTACGAAGATGGGACCGGTATCGATGGATTCGTTGATTTTTTTCGAATACGGGGATATGCGTTTCGAATCGCAACTCGGCGCCGTTCCGCAGATATTCGAGAAAAACGAATTTGGCACTCGGCCAAATCCCTAAAATAGGGGAAACCCGTGAAAGAAAGTGCAAAACGTAGGGAAATGTAGGGAGAAAATCAGTTTTTAATTAATATCTCGGCTAATTAAAGTCGCACGAAGATGCCGATGGTCAATATGGCGAGCCACGGGAATTCTGAATCCAACGGTACCTTCCGCTAAGCTCTACACCCAGCCGTTTCGAGGAGAAGATGATGTTACAAACAAACAAACAACAGACAGAGGCACACAGATTTTAATAGTATAGACTAGCGGGCAAGCCCGCCAGCTGAGCGGGCTGAAGCCCCGCTTATCATTGTTCGTTTTTAAAAGATATCCTATGTTAAATTTGGCCGGTATTGAAAAGTTGAACCGAACTACCATTTTTTAGCGGCATTCCGCGGGCTTCCCCCGCTTTTTTCACCTATGCATCCAGAAGTTACCGCATACACTATACATATGCGGAAAATCACGAAAACACCCATGCTTCCAGCCCTTTCGCGGGTATTCGAAATTTGGACCGAAATACCAGTGTTCAGCGCTTTTGGGCGGGAGCCCGCCCAAAACAGTGTTCACGTGTGCATGCAAAAGATACTGCGTACACCGTACACATGCGTAAAATCACGAAAACACCCCTCCAGCCAGCCCGCTGCCGATTCGAAAGTTGGACCGAAATACAATTTTTCAGCGATTTTGCGCGTGCTGTGCCCGCTTTATTCACGTATGCATGCTGAAGATGGTGCATAAACGATACACATGCGTAAAATCACGAAAACAAACATGGAGCCTGCCTGTTCGCCGGTATTCGAAAGTTGGACCGAATTACCAGTGTTATGTGGCTTTGCGCGGGCTCTGCCCGCTTTATTCACATATACACCCAGAAGATACTCCATACACTATACACATGCGTAAAATCACGAAAACACCCATGGAGCCAGCCAGTTCGTCGGGATTCGAAATTACCGCATTACCAGAACCGCATTACCAGTATTCTGTGCCCGCTTTATTCACGTATGCATCCATGAGATACTTTATAAACGATACACATGCGAACAATCACGAAAACACCCATGCAGCCAGCCCGCTCGCCGAGATTCGAAAGTTTGAGCGAACTACCAGTGTTCAGCGGTTTTACCCGGTATCCGCGCGCTGTATTCACGTATGCATCCAAATTTTATATACAGTACCCCGGAATTCGAAAGTAGGACCGAAATACCAGTGTTCAGCGATTTTGTGGACGTGGCTGCGCCCGCTTTATACACATAAGCATGGAGAGGATACTGCATAAACGATACACATGAGTTAAAGCAAGAAAACACCCGGGGAGCCAGCTCGTTCGCCGACACCGAAAGTTGGATCGAACTACCAGCGTTAAGAGGTTTTGAGCAGGCTGCGCCCACTTTTATCACATATGCATCCAGAAATCACTTTTTATACACTATACACATGCGGAAAATCAGGAAAACACCCATGCAGCCAGCCCGCTCGCAGAGATTCGAATGTTTGACCGAACTACCAGTGTTCAGCGGTTTTACCCGGTATCCGCGCGCTGTATTCACGTATGCGACCAAATTTTATGTACAGTACCCCGGAATTCGAAAGTTGGACCGAACTACCAGTGTTCTGTAGTTTTGCGCGGGCTGCTCCCGCTTTATTCAAGTATGCATGCAGAAGATACCGCATACACGTTACACATGCGAAAAAAATCCCGAAAACACACATTGAGCCAACACGGTCGCTTGGATTCGAAAGTTGGACCGAACTACCAGTAATCAGAGGTTTTGAGCGAATTTCGGCCGCTTTATTCACTTATGCATCCAGAAGATGCTGCGTACACGAGGCACATGCGTAAAATCACGCAAACACCCATGGACCCAGCCCGTTCGCCGGGATTCGAAATTAGGACCGAACTACCAGAGTTCAGCTTTATTCATTTATGCATCCAGAAGACACTGCATACACAACAGATATGCGTAAAATCACAAAAAACATGAGTGTAGCCTGCCTGCTCACCGGGATTCGAAAGTTACCGTATACCATCTCAAAGGAGCAAAGAAAAATCTTTAATCTAAAAAAAAAAAAAAAAAAAAAAGTGTGAATTTAATTTTTATTGGTGCGAACTTATTTAAAATATCATTTGCATTAAAAGATAATATCTAAATTAAGTGCACGTATCTAATAACATAAAAAAATATATTATTCCAAAAAATCAAATTTATTATTAAAAAAATAACAACATATTTTTAAAAAATAGCTTTTTCAGATTTTTTTAATTAATATCCCAGCTGATTAAAGTTGTACAACTTCAAGAACGTCATCATTTAAATTTAATGTAATATAATAACTTTTATTCAATATCAATAAAAGAATTAACGTGACAATCATCCTAACCTGAAATTAAAAAAAAATTGTGAAAAGCAGCTGTTTATTTAAAATGCCTACATTAACGAAATATTTTTAAAATACAGTTAGGTAACATGCAATCGCGTGCTTTATTCAACTTTAGAATATAACCTTGATTTGTATCTGCGGCGATTCAAGAAACTGTTGCAATCGGAAAAATGAGCCCGAAAATTAGCGTTTTCACAGTTTTTAATTAATATCTCAGCTGATTAACGTCCTACGAAGATGAGAATGGTATCATTGGATTCGTAGAATTTTTTGGAATCCGCAGACACCTGCCTCGAATTCCAACTCAGCGCCGTTCCATAGATATTTAAGAAAAAAGAAATTGACACGTGACCTTTCGCCAGCACAAATCTCGAGCGGAAGCAATTGTCATCCCCCCGGCGCTTTCGAAAAAGCAATTTTATCTCAGCTAATTCCGAGACGGTTGCCACTCCGAAAAATGAAATAACGTTTTCGCAGTTTTTAATTAATAACTCCGCCGATTATTGTCGTACGAAGATGGGACCGGTATCGATGGATTCGTTGATTTTTTTCGAATACGGGGATATGCGTTTCGAATCGCAACTCGGAGCCGTTCCGCAGATATTCGAGAAAAACGAATTTGGCACTCGGCCAAATCCCTAAAATAGGGGAAACCCGTGAGAAAGAAGTGCAAAACGTAGGGAAATGTAGGGAAAAAAATCAGTTTTTAATTAATATCTCGGCTAATTAAAGTCGCACGAAGATGCCGATGGTCAATCCGGCGAGCCACGGGCATTCTGAATCCAACGGTACCTTCCGCTAAGCTCTACACCCAGCCGTTCCCGAGGAGATGATGTTACAAACACACAAACAGACAGAGGCACACAGATTTTAATAGTATAGATTTTTTAATCTTTTCAATCATGAAACTTTATTGCACTCATTATATATAAATTTAATGAATTAAAAATAATATACATATTTAATCTTTGTGTCATTTCTAATAATAGATTTATTTAATATAATTTATGATGCATCTAATGGATAATATTCTAAAATATTTACACATTAGTGTACTTCATAAAAAGCATTTCTACTGCCTTGTTTATAATCCAATAGACTACAGAATTTTCTTTTAATAAATCTGAGCTAACAGTATTGCAACACTTGAGATTTATAAGTAATACCTTTGTGTAGGTATGCTAACAGAAAGTGCAAGTAAATGTAAAATTGTTGAAATATTATGGTTGCCAATTTTATATATATTATCATTAAGAAACATGATCCGTGTTCAAAATTGCTGAATGAATTATAAAATAAGGCAACGTATGAAGTCTAATATTTTGTGCAAATTAGTATTTTAACACATGTAAATTTAAATAAAAATATTTTAGGTGAGAGTAAAATATGAATAATAAAGTATGTTGAATAACTTTTGTTTTGAACTAAATTTAAAAGCATAATTTTATATAAAATAATAACAATAATAATCTAATTGGAAAAAATATTTTAAATCTTTAAAAAAAATTAGCCTTTTTTTTTTTTTTAGATAAAATTTATTTCTAATGTAAGGAGTTTTAATGGAACTTACCTGTCAAAAACATGCAATTTAAGGTTGAATTTCAGTACAAAAACTTAACCAATTCTACTGTAATATTTAATAGTTTAACATTGAAAAGTAATAGAATTTGGGTTTTTTTTTTTTTTTTTTTTTTTTTTTTTTTTTTTTTTGTCATAAAACATAGATTCTTACACATGTAAGTAAAATAAAGATAAAATTAGAGAATATTACATTATTCTGTAATTTTATTTCCATTTTACCTGTAAGAGATGTATCTGTATCCTTCAGGATATCCATTCATTAAGTTTACATTCCATTTAGGATACATTATCCTCAGGAATCTATAGACTATTTAAATACCAGATCAGAATTTTAGTAGGAGGAGGGAGGCATTAATAGAACTATAACTTGATGCTAATGCTAATGTCGTGGTGGTGTAAAACTATATATTTTAAGTTGAAAGCTATATTAAATTATTTATATTTTTTGTAGAAAATTCATAAAAATCTGCCAAGAAGCATTGGAATTGAATGGAAGAATCATTACATCTGACCAATATGAATACCACACATCTTTGAAGAAGAACTTTCAAGAATTTGTGGATTCATTGTCAGGAATGTTGCATGAAAAGGTATAATTTACATTTTCCTGAAAATAAGTATTCTGGATTTTCCAGAGAAGTTTACATAGAATACTGCTAAAGTAAAAAAAAATGGCTAATTTTGATTTTAAAATTACTGCATTATTTTTCACTCATGTTAAAAACATTTTACATTAGTGTACCAAACATTCTGTATGTTTTTTTTTTTTTTTTTTTTTCCCACCCGATTTCAACTTATCTTGTAAAATGAAGCATCAAACATAATCAGAATAAAATCTTCAATTTACCAGCTGGGAAGGGACATGCATGTATAGAACTATGTCATAAAATACAAATTTTTCCTCATAACAATAGTTTCATAAATATACAACAAAAAGGATTTTTTATGTTTATAAATAATCATATCAATTTTTAAAATAAGTTAATCCTTATTAGTTAATTTACTTTTAAAATGATAAATATATCAATCTTAGAAAGTTTAGTTGCAAGTCCTGAAATTTCTGAATTTAAATATGCAGCTGCAACTAATATGAAGTTTGGTCATCCCTATGATTTAGATCGGGTTTTCTCAAACCTTTCACCATTGATAGAAGATCATTCCTCTCCATCTCAAAACTCGACAAATAAGCATAAATATTTATCTAGGTTTGTAAGATTTCTTTTCGAACATCAAAACTTGAATAAAGAAACGTTTTTTATATTCCTAAATTAAAACTAAATACATAACAGCTAAATAATTTCTCTGCATTTTCTCCTGAAACTGGGGAATTTTTCCCAGAGGAAATTCCCTTCTGATTTAGATTATTTGAGAATTACCTTAGATTCTTCCCCCAAATATCTGTGTCTGTGCGTATATTATTAAAGTAAGATTTTTTATTCCTCATGGATATACTAAATGAATTTAAAATTTGATTTTGGCATATTTCAGGATTTTTTTGGTGTGCAATAAAATGTATTTTTAATTGCATTTTTTTCATTATTATTTATTATTATCATATTCCGCTGTTACTTGCTTTGATTTCGACTTTGAATTCAGAAGTTAGTTATATATGGGAAAGCTGGTTTTTTGGTTGAATTCCTTATTTTTTTTTTTTTTTTTTTAATTTAGGAATTTATACTGATTAAAATGTAATTAATTTAGCGTAAGATAATCTAAATGGATTGTAAGAAAAATTAAAGAATCACAATGACAATTCTGCCCTCTTGACAATAATATTCGATTAAGTTTATAATTTTTCTACAGAATCGGATAAAATTAAAAAAAAATAAAAAAATCCGAGAGGTTTCAGATTTTAAATTACGTCTAAAGGGGCGTTTTTTTAACGTTTTGTGTGTTACCTTTATTTAATATCATGTTCTTTGCACTTAAACCATACAATTCAACAGCAATATCGCAAAATAATTTTAAAATGAGCATATCTTTAGAATTTCCAATACACAATGTCTCGTGCTGGAGATAAAAATGTTTTTTCTGTACAACGTTACCATTGCTCGCTTTGAAACCTTGAGTCTGTTAATAAAAAATTCATTAAAGTTTTACAAAATATGAAATCGATAATAAAACAAATTTCAAATTTGGGCTTTCAGATGCCTATATTCGCAGTAGTATCACGTCATTTAAAATTGGATGGCTCTAGGTACCATTGCAAGAAACATACATACATTCTTCTACAGAAACATGCATACAGATTCTTTATTATTTAATTTCTTCAAATATAATACTGAGCGACAGTATTTGGTGGCAATGATTTGAAAAGTTATATGCCGTTAATAGGGTTCGGACGTAAAATCACAAAACAAAAATAATAGTCATTCAGGGGCAAAGCCCTTTTCGACTAATAATTTATGCAATTTCCTAAAAGGGGGGGAGATTTTAATGCAGCAAATACCCTTCAACTTTTGCTAACATAAAAAGTCAAAGCCAATGAATATATAGCATAGATAGAGTGCTTTCAATATTTTTTATTTGGCTTTTTGTTATTATTTTATTTTAACTAGGCTTATTAAAGAATTTTATCAGTGCATAACATAAGTGCATTTTAACATGCAGTTCATTTTTCCGATACCAAGAATTTGGGTGGATGTATATATTATTTAGATGTTTTCAGGAGCTTCTATTTTTTAATTTCTATTCCTTCTATTTTTTAACCTTTTTATATATGTGTAGATATATATATATATATATATAAAATCAAATGAATGAAATTCAAAAAAATTCAAATAATCCAATAAAGTAAAAATTTAGAAAGCCATTAAAGAAAACTAAGAATTACAATTTGAAGACTACATAAATTTTAATCTACGAAGTCATAAAATAGGAAAGGGAAGTAAGGAAAATTAAAACCAAAGATAAAATTAAAATTGATTTTATTTTAAAGGAATTGAAAATATTGAAAAAGAAAAAGTGGCAGATGTAAATACTGCCGTAGAAGCTCTAGCTAATAACAGTGTAAATGCATGTAAATTGAGATGTAAAATTTACAAATACGAATTACAGCAATATCATGGAAAATTACCGAAAAATGAACAATTGAAAAGATAGCGAAATAATACTGAATCTTCGGGGGGAGGGAATTAGCTTATTTCACTCTCTTCCCAACTGCTCAGACATCCTGTTTCATCCTTGCCATACATATGTAAATTAAAAATTAACATTATTTTTAAATATTCAATTCAAAAAATTTAGCTAACTTATATGCATGCCAAGAATTCCCCTACACGATGTAAATCAATTTTAAAAATATTTGGAACATTCACATAAATGAAAATTTAAAAATGAAAATAATAATAATAATAATAATAAATAAATAAATAAATAAATAAATGTTAGAACAGTACACGAGTATTAAATCAATGATGCTATCAAAATGTGTAAGTAAACATAATAATGGAAATTTAAACAAAAGGAGAAACATGCCGTAATTTCCGGAAGAAAGGCCGCATTAGCATAAATGCCGCACTCGAGAAAAATGGCGGGAAAAAAATTAAAATTGCACAGAAACGCTGCAATAGATTAAATTGCGTGTGACATCGTCGTGGGCCGTATAGATGCAAAAACTCAACCTAAGTCCTGATATATGACATACCAGTTAAGAAAAATGCATGAAATGAAACCATAACTCAAAAATAAATTAAAGGTAAGAAATGTGGAAAATATATTTACCTTCACGTATATACTTATATTTAACCACTAAAGAAGTCCATATTTGTAATACAATCAGACTATATTATAAAAAATGTTGCAACAACAAAATATTAAATTTGGATGACAAAAGGAAATTTTAAATTTTACTTACGAATTACAGCAAACCATACATCATATGAAGCCATCAAAATCTGATTCTTCACTATCTGAATTAAAAAGATTTAGTAAATCCTGATCTAAGTCTTCCAGATCGTCACATTCATCCTCTTGGTTTACAGTCTCTTTATCTAAGGATATAATTTCAGCTTCTTTGAACCCTGCTATTATTGACGATGTTTCTACCGATTTCCACGCACCTCCTGCCCACTTTGCAATTTCTTCATAAGATGCTCTATGCATTTTCCGCTTTTGGTTTACGTATGCAATCCTTCACTCATCCAACACTCCCACCGCTTTCGGACTTCAGCTTTGAAGGATTTATTACTTGACAAATCTAACGGTTGTAAGATTTTTGTCAAACTACCAGAAATTATTGCTTCGGTTGTAGACAATTTTTGACATCTGGTTTTCACTGACTCAAAGAAATGAGCACGCATGGAATCCATTATCAATAACCCCTTTGGTCGGAAAAAAGATCCCTTACGAAACTGCCAAACTTTTTGTAGCCACTCATGCATGATTGTTTCGCACATCTAGCCGTTCTCGTTTGCACAAATAATTACGTCATTAGGAAAATCTCCCTTCGAAACAGTCTTTCGTTTAAAAATGATCATCGGCTTTAGCTTGTCACCGTTTGCGGCACAAGCTAACACACATGTAAATGACGTTCTTTCATGCCCCGTCATAAACACAGATACAGTTTTTGCACCAGTTTCATCAACAGTTCTGTTTGCAGGAGAGTCGAAAGCTAACGGCGTTTCATCCATATTTATTATCTGCAACCGAAGTTTTTTTTTTTTTTTGTCAATAATAGCTGTCACATAGTTTAGAAAAGATGACTTTTTATCCTACCAGTCCATTGGTAATTGTTGCCCGACCGTTGTTCTAGTATGCACAGAAATATTTTTTCTTTTCATAAATCTGCTACACCTCCTTTGAAATCATTTATGTTCATTCGTTTTGCTATAAATTTTGCTTGTAAGCGAATTTTTACAGTCGAAATTGACATTCCCTTTCCTCGTAGTGCCTTTATCCAGTTTGCAAGGTCGTCCTCTAGATTTGGCCACCTTACAGTACCACTTCTTTTGGCTCGTTTCTGTTGTGGCATATTTTTAAGAAGTTCTTTTTCAGTTCTCCAACGTTGAATACATCTGTCGTCCACTTCAAACTCTCGAGCTGCTGCTCGATTTCCAATTTGTTCAGCACAAGAAATTACATTAAGCTTAAAACCAGCAGTATAGCTTCTGTGCCGTTTAGGGACATTTTCAAAAATTTTCCCCTCCCTTCTCACTTAAAATCTATACAACAAGTACTTGTACCCAAACTGATGCAATCTGTATCTGGCAGAATGCCAAGAAAAATCCATGCTGAAGAGGAAATACGTCAGAGTTCGTTATTGTGAGGCAGATGAAGTCGTGTCCGCCTTTGAAAAAAATTTCAGGAAAGGCAGGGGTGGGGAGAGAATGGGTCCTGGAAGATTCACCGAATGGCAGAGGAGAGAGACTATTCGAACTGATGAGAATGTTGATTTGAAAGGGGGAAGAATGTTATTGTTCCGAGATCTCGTTTAGGGTGAATAAGGCATGTAGGTCTGTTCAAGGGAAAGAATGTAAACAAAATAACGTTCGCAAAAAGCAACTGAGTGGTCTTTTGTGTGGGAAACAGCACCAGTCTATGCACAATGACAAGGCCATCCAAACTATGTACAATGACAAAGTTATTCAAATTATGTTCAATGATCATCAAGGAAATATTTTATTTTAGTGCGGCTAAATGCCACATGGGTAGAAACGCCGCACCCGCTGAAAATTTAAGTTTTAAACATGTAAAACACGTAAACGCCGCGGCGTTTCTTCCGGAAATTACGGTATATATATATATCCTTTGAAAATTAATATGTTACCTGCTAAGAATATTTACTGAATTTTTCATAATACTTTGCTATTTCTATGAGCTATTTTTCCTTATATATTTATATTTTATTTGCAGATGTGCTATCAAGAAAAAGATGTGCTCTCACTCAAAAGAACATCATTAGATGTTTTCAATTACATCAGTGGATCACCTGGTTCTAGCAATGCATAACATTTTATAAGAATATGTTTTTCTAGATTTATCTTATAAATTACTTTTTAGGACTAAGAAAGTCAGCCAAATGAAGTGCCTTTGTAATGCAAAGGGCATTAGTTTTTAATCATGGCAAGGCACTGCAAAAAGAACTGTTAAATGTCATTTTTTTAAATTCCCATGTACTTTTATGTTTACTCACTTCATGACAGCAATTAGGTGTGCAATGTGTAATATAGTTGATTTAATTTAAACATTTCATTAAAATGCATCACTAATATATTTTTATGTACAGATATACAGCATTTCCAACACATAATAGCTATATAAAGCTTTGTTTTGTAACTATGTAGAAAGTGTACAGAATACAAGGTATTTTCATGCAAACTATCACGGTGCTATTTTTTTCCCTTCCTGGCATAATATTTCTTGTCAGCTTATGTTTTTCAATTTTCAGCTGTTTCTTTGGTAATCCAAAGTTTCTTAAGTAAGGCATCATATTTTTTTATAAACTGTCAATCTCTGTATAGTGAGAATATAAATTGATGTTTTACGTTGTTATTGCATTTATGTGCATTTCTGTAATCACATTTAATGTGCATTTCTGTAATTGCTTGTTTTTTTATAGCATGTGATATTTTCTGTTGAAACTTATTGTAAGAAATTTCATTTAAATCTGCCATAAATCTTTGTTTTTTATAGTTGTTAAGGTCAATATAATTTAAATACTATTTATAAAAAAACTTTATAAAAATTGTACTGAACAATGTAAATAAAATGATTTTTAGACATCATTTTCCTATATTTTATACTTGTTTCCTGTTTATATAACAAATCTTAATCTGATTTTTATCAGAAACTAAGTTGGTTCATCTTTTCAATATGAATTTTTACAATATAAGTAATTCACAGCCTGCTGTAGTAACAAGAAATATCGTAATGTTGCAGATTTGGTTTATGTGATTATGGCAAAGCCTCGGGAGCTATTTTCATAAGGGGAATAATGCCTTTGTGGAGAACTTTCTAAGGGAAACAAGTTCATATACATGTTACACTTGGGGAAAACCACGAAAACACCCATTCAGCCAGTCCATTCGTGAGATTTAAACCTCAGACCAAACTACCAGTGTTTAGTGACTTTAACTGCTTGGCTGCTGATGGACAATAATGTTGCTGGAAAATGGTACAGAAAAAGGAATAAAATATTCCACAGCAGCCTTCCCAAATTTGCTAATACAGTCAAAAGTCTTTAATCCGGACTCGTTGGGACTTCGGCGATTCCGGATTATCGATTTTTCCGGATTATAGATCATCAGTTTAAATCTGGTAAGATGGCATGCAGAAATTATAAAATTAAAAATATGAAACCGTAATTTATAAAATAATGAGCAATTATGATCTAAAGGGTATCAAAATTTACAAGAAAAAGAACGCGCGCATGCGTAAAGCATACCTTACGCATAGCCGAAATTAGAAAATTGCAACCAGAAAACTATTTGATTTGTATTCGTGATATTTATAATGACGAGGTTTTTGATTTAAATCATATCAAAGACGGAGTACATCGAGATTAAATACTACATTTAGTAAGGAATTATAAGCCGAATAAAATAAAAACATCTGCCCTGAAGATAACGATAGTGCTGACAGATCAACTTCCAGTTCATTGCCGCCGTGACGTCCCCCCCCCCCGCGCGCAGAGCAGCGTGAAATTGATAAAACAGATTTCGGAACGGTTAGATAAACAAAGGATATGGCTTTATCCATTTTTTTGTAGCAGTTCGTTTTTTGTTTGATGGACATTGAAACATACTTTCGTTTTCTAGATCCTTTGGGAGCTCCAGCATCGGAAATTCTATTTGACATAATCGAAAGTTTAAGCGTACTTTTATAAAATTGCTCTTACAGTCTGCAAAAAATAATAAGCCGGATCCAATTCGAAGATTAAGGAACAACACAATCATCAACATTAACTGAAATAGATAATTAGATAATTTTAGCTTATACCGTCCGTTATACATTAAACGCGCACGCGAAAACGTATTCTGCGCTTGCGCAAACGCATATGCGCAGTCGTAAATGTCTTGCGCGCACGCGTAAAACGCCTATGCACATTCGTCCACGCGGCGCATGCGCAGAAAGATTTTAGCTTTGAGGTCCGGATTATGGGTGTCCGAATTAACGACTTTTGACTGTATGTGGTGAAATAAGAGGAAGGATTCTGGACGAGCATTGCCACGACCTCTGTTTTATAGAAAATGCTAAGAAAACAAATTTTGACATTAAATAATATTCTTTTGTTTTAAAACCAAAAAAAAAAAAATAATAATAATAATAACTTTATTTATTGCAACATGAAATTGCAGTAATCTTAATTATAACTGGGTTGAATAACGACCATGTTCTAAAAAAACGTTAACCTGAGATGAAGTAATACTATTAACTTTCAAGAGATAACTCACCTCTGAATAACTATAAATATATGCCTTGTAAGTACAGTGATCACAACTAAAATAAAAAGTTAAAAATAAAAATTATTTATTAACATGCCAACCTGATCTTACAACTAAAAAGTTTAACATAACCTAACTGCCACTGTCTTTCAGGCAACTAAAACACACATTCAAATTAAATCAAATGTACAGTACAAAATTAACACACCTAAACTAAAGCCTGGCTGACTCCTAACAACAGCAAGGAATTTAACACTGAGTGACAGTCTGCTTATATTGCCAGCACTGTCCCCTGAGAAACTTAGAAACTAGAGGCATATTTATAATTTAACTAATTTGCATTCTGGTGAAGGTTGATGAAAGTAGAAGGTACAATAAAGACAAAATAATAAGATAACTAGGTTAATTTAAAAAAAGGTCTTCCAAAGTTGTAATACACAATTTTTATGATTTTAAAAGTTTTATTTTATGAATACTTAAAAACAGAAAATCCACACAAGACCTCTTAACAATAGTCTGAATGTCATCAAAATAGTGCTTTTTTACATTTAACTGAGTATTACATCTACCAAAATTTTAATACTCAGGCTATTGCAGAAAACTGTAGTAAGAAACAAAGAATCTCTATAAAAGCTCTAAAGAATTTATAAAAGTTTTAAATTGATAATAAATATATAACAATATGATTAGTGTTAGCTGTTTTCTTATTAGTATAAGAGGGATTAAAATAAAATGTTCTTGGTGAACTTGCTAAAAATCATATGTAAACATAAATAAGTTAACAGCATTCACAAATGTTGAAATGCTAAAATCCACATTTGAACATTAGTAAATTAGGAGCTTTTGTTAAAATATTGAATGCTGACATGCTAAAAACCAGTACAATAAGAGCTTTTTCAGATCGGCCACCTGAAAGAGTTATTTACTTACTAACAATGAGACTTTTAGCATTTCAACCTGAATATTTTAACTGTAGGTGCTTTTAGTTTCTTCAAAGGATGGATCACTATATAAAAATACTACTAAATGACATATCAGATACATTCTCGAATTATAATGTAAATACACATTCACAGAAATAATTGTGAATTAAAAATCATATTGATCATATAAAGAGAAGAAATGATTTTTGTACTAGTAATTTTTAATCTGACATGGCTGCAGCTTTCTATTTTATCTAGATTTTCAATTTGGTAGCGTTGGAGCTTGTTACTTTAAATAGATGATATTGCTGAAATTATGCAATTTAAAAGATTCAAGTAATTTTTTTTTTTACTCCCCCAAAAAGGAGGCCCTAAAATATTTTTACATGAGTTTTTTTAGCAATATATCTGGGAAAAATGTCAGAGAATCGGTCTAATTACAATCAAGTGTATAATATTATAATGGTAACCCAATTTTTTCTTCTGCCCCCACCCAACAAAATTTTGCATAATTAATAGCACATTTTGTATATCATTTTAAAAATTTTAAAAATTTAAATTTAAATCCTAAATTCTAAATTCTTATTCGTTTAAATTATTCTTTTATTTCTTTAATTTTTATTTAAATCTATTCAATGTGAGTAAAAATACAAAAAAAAATAATACTGGAAAATAAATAATGAAATATATGGTTATAAAAAAACTTTAGTTATTTTAAAATTCAAAAGCACAATTTATTACAATTTCCTTTTGGTGAAGTGTAGCGTTTTTTTATGGTAGTATATTTTAGATATCAAAAAATGTGTAATTATTTATGGTTAATTAGTTTGTTGTTTTTTTTTTTTATTTTTTACTTTTACAGATGAAATAAAATCTGAAAATAATGACAATGCAATAAGTTAAAAGATAATAATCTCGTATTCTCTACTTTTAAATATCTTGCAAAATTCATACAAATCTGCTGAACCACAATCTATTGAAATGCTGTGTGTTAACAGTTCACTTAACAGTTTTTATAATCTATTTTAACCTTATTTTAGCAAATTATCTTTTATTTGGTGAATTAAAAAAATGGGCAGGACCTCGGCAAATAGATAAAATATCCAAATGATAACATTATGCAGCGTCTTTCATATCTTCATTTAACAAATAAACCAAGAATTTAAAAATTTTTCTGTTTGCACTACTGGACAGAGAGAGTGAAAATTTTTTTATAATTAAATTTTCAACATAGTCACTCTTCGGCAAATTTTCAAATATCATTCAATTTTGTTGACCGACACCTATCATTTTCAAATTTCAATATCTAGAAATTTACGTGTTATAGTTTTAAAATTTTCTTTAATTATCAAACTTTTTGCCCTTCTTTAAAATAAAAAATTAAAAGACATTCTAGAATTTTTTTTAAACTAAGTGTTTGCATAGCCAGCCATCACACTGGCATGTGTCTGCCATGCTGAATACATGCCAGATGCAATTTTCCTAAGAAAAAATAATTTGTAGAAGGTTAAGCAGGTGTTATTTTTAGCAGAGTAGTTAGTCACAGAAAGGACTTAAAGCATAAAGCTAAACCCCTCCCCCCTCAAAAAAAGTAATAATAAGGGCTGAGCAGAAATTGAGAAAACACTAGTAACCAATTTGATATAGTCTAAGATCAAATACATAATTTTTTCCCTTTCCAATAATATATAAATTTTAATCTAAAGTTAAAAATAATATACTTCATCCTAAGACTGAATAATAATAGCATAATTGCTGGGTATAGAACAGTGATTATTCATTATTGAAAAGACCAAAAATTAAAGAAGTTTTTATAAAATAAACTTTTATATAAAACTTATAAATTAATTATTGCATTAAAAGAGAAAAATATTTTACCGTACAGTTTAGTGAGAACAAGAAATTAAATTATCTTTACAAAATTGATCTACAATTTTATATCCTGAATAATAAAAGTGTTGGCACCTAAACAACAAAGTCTAATATGAAATTGTATTGCCAAAAGGAATAAACCATTAACCTATATAAATTTATCATGTATGCCCCTTTTAATTTTTTTTCATATAAAATACCAGATGAATTTTGTAAAGAAAAGTAGTTAATTCCTTGCTCTTATTAAAATAAGATAAATTATTGGTCTTCTTTTAGTTCATTAATTATTTTACAAGTTTTAAATAAAAATTTTTAAACTATTTCATATTAAGTATTTACCTGTAATTTATCAGTAAATAACTTATTTTTGTTATTGAAAAAAAAAAAATGCAAAATTTAATTAAAAATTTACAAACTAGTTTCTTTTAAAAATATGTATTAATAAATGAATTTTTTTCAAATGTTATAATTAAATTCTTCCTATATTATAACTGTACATTACTTGCTTGAAATGTGCACTTCACTCACAAACTG